AGATGTAGGAATCATGCATAAACACCAGCGCAAGAACTGTAATCATTTTTAGCACCTGATGTGTCAGTGCTCTTTGCAGTCCTTTTCTTGTTGTCACTCAGTGGTGTTAACACCACCATGGGGTACAGTACTGAAGTCCAGCGTAGCCACACCCCCAGACGTGAACAGCAGCTTTTAAATGGTCGTGATTGTGTGTCACTGCCCAGAATCAGGTGGGGAGGCCTCTGAGGACAGCTGCAGGTTGGGCCTGTGGCCTCACAACCTTCCTGCCCTGCAGCAATTTTCTTACAAAGTAGAAAATGGCAGAGATTGTCCAGAAATGTGGACATCACGAGAGCTGCTCTGGTAGTTTCAGGGGCCACAATTAGTCCTTCCTTTATAGCCCATGGAACCAGAGCCTTCTGAAAGATAAATTCAGACTAGTCAAATATTTCTTCCTCTTCAGTTATTCCTCTGACATGGTCAATGTATCTGCCCTTTTACGACTTGGTGCTTGTTAGATGTGTCTGAAAAAACCTCTTTCTCAGGGAGCCTTGAGGTCTTAGATAGGAAGATAAGTGAAGGCATATGATAAATTCACTGTCCTTTGAAAAATCATTCCAACCTCCAGATCCAGTCAACTTTTCCATCACTCTGACAAAATATCTAAGATAAATCATCTTAAACAGAAAAAAGTTTATTTTGGTTCATAGTTTTGGAGGTTTCAGTTCATGGTCATTTGGTACATTGTTTGGGGATTTATGGCAAGGGAGCACACCGTGGTGGGGCACATGGGAGAGGAAACTGCTCACTGCATGGCCCCGGAAAACAAAGAGAAGGAACGGGACCAGGGTTCCAACATCCCCTTCAAGGACATACCTCCAGTGACCTAAGTTAGGCCCCCTTTCAAGGTTCAACAACTTCCTATTAGCACCATAAGCTGAGGACCAAGTCTTCAACACCTTTGGGGGCATTCATGAGCCCGGCTATAGCAAAATGATGAGGGCCTTCTCCCCCACACACATTTGAGTCTAGATTTGAACACATTACCTGAGTAGGGAGGAGGTTGTTAACTAGCCTGCGTCTTCCAGCCTCATATTCCAGGGTGTTAAGATGCCATTCATCCCTTCATGACCGGACAGACAGACAGACAATGCACACACACACACACACACACACACACACACACGCACTGTCGAAGTTCCCTGTTCCACCCCATGAAGGGGCACATAAAGGAGTAAGAACACTTCACTCAGACTTGCACTTTCTCGAAAAACAGAGGGGCACTTTCGTTTAGCGTTCATACGCAGAAAGAAGAAAATCTAGCAGAAACCAGACTTGTTATCCAAGAATGTAAAAACATTTTTTTTTTTTAGAATCTTGATGCCACAATGCCCCAAGTTGGAAAAAGTATGCCATTTCATATGTTTATAACAACATCTGATTTAATATTATACAGTTTTGCTTATTCACAAACCAGAACAAATACTTTCAGATTTATTACATCCTTCTGTTCAGAGACTTAAGTAATCACAGTTAATAATGTAGCCATTCCACAGCCCAAGGAAAAGCTTTGTAATTCTTTGGGACCTCAGATTCCTGAGAGGCAGGTTATTTTCAGAAGGATTTAAGGTTTGAAAGCTCGCGATGAAGCTTGAAATTCATCTTTCCCAGTTCACATGAAAAGAGCTTCCTCTGAAGCTTGGCTGGGAGGCAGAAAGAGGAAAACCAGGTGGCATCAACTCTCCCTGAGTCCTTGGGGAATGTGGCCATTGTTCACCAACATTATAAATCCACCCTGTCTTTAAAAAAAAAAAAAAGGAACAAAGACAAAGTAAGACCATGCCATTGGCTCCTGAGCTTTTAAATTTGTCAGTGGTATATTTTGGACCCCTTCTTATTTGTTGATTCATTAAAAGGCACTAATTTATTTTTAAAGGAGATAGTCTTCCAAAAACATACCTTCTAATTTATTCTCCCACACATACAGCGTTTGTTGCAGAATTTGTGCGCACTTGTGAAGCTCCAAGCATGGTGTTTGCTTGGCTAACACAGTCAGGGTTAGCTAATGATGTAGCAATTGACTCCTTTGCATGGAGATGTCATTGTAGGTCTGGTGCCTTTGGAGTTTGCTGTCTTTCAAACCACAGATGTTACTCTGTGATATCCAAAAGTGGGGACTGTGGTTCCCCCCAGGGCTGGGGGTTGTTTGCCTCAATGTGAGACCAACACCCAAGATGGGAATATCCACACCTAGTCATGATGTAGTTTAGTGGGTGCCATTTTCTCACAAAGCCAGTGTTTGCCACCCTCGTATTTCTTTACACACCATCATGCAGAAGATCAATATTAATGCAAAGTGGTAGGGGAAAGTTGGGTGTCAATCTACAGAAAACTGGATGAGAGCTTAGAATAATCTGATTGGTGCCCTTAAAACTGAGAGTTCCTAGGTCCCACTTCAGACCCACCAAGTGGAACCAAATGGGACTATCTCAGAATCACACAGGAATAGCCACTGTAAATGAGGTTTCCAAGTGATTCACTATACACTAAAGTTTGTCTACACCAAACTGCAGTTCCTTTTACTAACTGTAAGCAAATGTTTCAAAATAAGATTATAGGATCCAACTATAGTTGAAGACACTTATTCTTTTGAAGGAATTCATGTCAATTTACTTTTAGCAGCATATTGCTAGAAATCAAAAGCCTTGAGTTTGAACTCTAGCCGCTCACCTACAATGTGGTCAAGTTACTTAACTTTGAACCTCATGGCCACGAGTTATGCATTAGGAATAAGTGTGACTATGATACAGAAGCAGCTTACATCCTGGACGGTCAGGAGGGCCAAATGGCATACAGTGAGTGAAAGTGCTCTGAGACTTCAGGGCACTTTACAAATACAAGGCACAATTAGAATGTAACCCTATGGGGGTTTGCTTGGAGATTTTTGTTAGTGGTTTGGTTGTTGTTTTGTTTTATTTCATTTTGAGATCAAACTATCTGCTTTATTACTCATACAAACTAGGCTTGAAGGTTTGGCTCAGTGGTAGAGCACTTGCTGAACATGCTTGAACCCCTGAGCTCAATCCCCAGCACTATGAAGAAAAGAAGGAAGGCAAGGAGGGAAAGAGGGAGGGAGGAAGGGAGGAAGAAAAATCAGGCTAGAAGTTATGTTTTAGAAATATAGAAGCAATGGAATTTCAAATAGTGAATCCCAGTATTGACTTGGGCAACACTGAACAACTGCAGTCCTCTTTCAGAAAGGACAGGGTCTTTCCAGTCAGGATCATCACTTAGACCAGAGGGAACAGAGTCCCTCCACCTTGAAGGCAAGCAGAGCCCAAGGAGAAAGGAGAGGAGAAAGAGCAAAGCTTAAATTTGCTTCTCCCAAGTTTAGCAATCAGCTGTCCTATGAAGTTAATAGAATAGGCAAAGAGAGACCAAGACTAAGTAATCTCCATTCATTTGGATACATTAGGGATAAGTGTGATTGCCATACTAAGTTTATAGAGAGGTTATCATTTCTACTCCAAAATGCCTCAATTTTTTATTCTTTGAATCCATTATGCCTAACCACTATGCTCATAGTCAACCAGAAGTAAGGATAGCATCCTCAGAGAGGGATTTGGCTCCCACCCCAGCCCCTGTCACTTCTCCGTTGTAGATCTTCCTGGGCAGGCCGAATGGGTTCTGGCCTCAGGAGGTTCTGAAGGGTCAATGTAGTACACAGCATGGTCCTCAAGGCCTTTTACAGTCAAGATGGAAGATGAAGAACCTCTTCTGTTCTCCATCCCAAATTATTTCCAGCCACATTGACCAGTAAACCAAATGATATCATAAAGTACCCAAGCTGTATGATGTTCTAGACTTGAACATAAACCCCATCAACAACAAAGCACTAGAGAGTTTTAAGTCCAAAATTAAATCTTCTTACATGTTAAAGTTCAGAGAAGATAAAATTAAAAGCTGAAGCTAAATTATCTTACCCTCCATGGAGGGACAGTTCAAACACATTAGATTTCAATTTCCTGTTCTCTTTAGTCTTGGTGAGATTTCTTCCTGAGGTGGAGAATTAGGGCTCTGTCAGTGGTCATAGCCTAGGATGTCTCTCTATTCTCACGTACTGGGCTTTTTTCTTCTTTTGTGAATTGTTTTTAAAATTGTGATAAAATACACACAACATAAATCCACCACAATACCATCTTTAAGTGTGCACTTCCATCATAATAAGAGCATTCACACTGTGCAACCAATCTCCAGAACTCTTGTTAACATGCAAAACTGAAACTCTATCCTTAGCCAACAACGCCCCACACTTCCCATTCCCCCCCAATCCCTGGAAATCAGCCTCCTACTTCTCCTACTTTCCGTTTCTATGAGCTTGACTACTGTAGGTACCTCCTGTAAGTGGAATCATGTGATATTTATCTTTGTGTGACTGGCTTATTTCACTTAGCACAAAGTCATCAAGGTTCATCCATGTTGCTGCCCATGCCAGAATTTCCTTGCTTTTTAAGATTGAATAATATTCCATTGTATGCATCTGCCATGTTTTGTTTATCTACTCATCTGTCAATGAACACTCGGACTATTTCTATCTTTTGGTTATTATGAGTAATTCTGCTCTGAAAAATGCTTGTATGTGCCTCACTTTTTAAACATCAAAAGATTTTAACAGCATGAGATTATCACAGTACAAATTTAGAAAATAATCTAGTCCACAACCCGAGAGAAGTTACCCAGGCCAAAATCATGTCCCTAAACCCAATGTTTGGTATTGCCAAAAACCATAGCTCAAAAGGGAAGAGTCCTTCTAAAAGATTCTTCTAAGGGAAAAAGGGCAATTAGTTGTAACTGAGGAGCTTGTAATCTATTCATTTGCCAGGTGATCATAATTCAAAAAGAAGTTAATTATGCACCATGTTTACCATAATTCACCCTTGAAAATAGTCCATTCTCTCAAAGCAGCATTTGAGACGTTCTTGCCTTAAACATATGTTCACAGTTCAAAATAAACACACTATTAAAAAGTGTTTCTTAAATAAGGATTTATTTTCTGCCTAAGAAGCTTATGATGCGGACATCACTAACAAAGACCAGCACTTCTGAGTGTGGTGTAACAAAGAGGAAGACAAAGCGTTCATCCCGTTCCATGGGTCATGCAGAGCACTGTGTGCTGATATGTTCCTTCAACTGGTATGATGCAAAGTGTCAGGCACATATCCATAGAAAAGGGACTTGTCCCACAGGAATTGGGATATTGCAGAGTGAGGAGGATGATACAGTTAAAAACTTAAGAGGCTGTATAATTCAGAAAAATGTTGGTTGCACAGCACAACGAAGACTTGAAATCTTTATTTTGCTTTCTTTTCAAAAGCCCTGTGAGCCTAATAAGAAGAATACAGCTTTAAGAACTAAGATTCACCCCATCAAGCATTAATGGTGTCCAGAAACTATGTGAACAATCTTACTCGACATCCTCAAGACATTTATATCTGTCCAATGCAAAACCAGAGGGGTAAGCATGATCATTTTCTCAGCCTTCTGATAGCACATATACAAGGTCTCTTTGCCCACAAAAAGCTCCACATATATTCTTTAGGACTTCATCGGTCTTAAAATATAGACTTACATTTATCTTGGCCACATTAACGAGATCTGTTTGACCAATACATTTATATTTATGATGACTAAGGGCAGATTATGGTTGTTAAAACTTGTCCTTGGGACATGAAAACACTCCTCTGTCATTAATACATTTTGTAATATAAACTATGATGTCAGGTCAATGTAAAGGGTAAAAACGTTCCTAAAGTATGCACACATCATTTTTTAAAGCAATTGAGCCTAATGGAATAACAAAGGTCATCATAACAAACCATTACAGTCTTGGTCTTGGCAACTCTGGCCACAGAAGAACCTCCAAGAAACGGTCATCATTCCTCCAATGTTATGGCATCCAGACGACAGGAATGGTTCGCAAATGAGTCACACGGGCTCAGATCCTCGGTAGCTATGTGAGCACTGGACGATCAATTATTCATGTGTTTACAAAGAGCTTTCCTGGTTGATGTTAACCAGAGCTGCTTGCAAAGAAGAGCTCTCCAGCTGTCCTCGGCCGTCCTGGGCCTCCGACTAACAAGCTCTTTAATTGCTGGACGACTCATCTTGAAGATGCCCCTCCCCAGCCCAACTAAACTCCATCTCACTGAGACTTTACTAGGTGCAAAAAATATTAATCAGAAATAATTATGACAGTACTTTATTTACAGTACTCTTCAAAAATCCTAAAAAGGGAGATAGAAGTTAGACTTGACATAGATTCCATTGGGCTCCACCAGGACTGGACTATAGAACACACAGGTCAGAATCTGTTAAAGAGCACAAGAGAAGAGAATGAAAGGAAAGAACCAGAGGCAGAAGGAAGAGCCATCTAGAATGCTCTGTGAAGGTCAGGAAACATGACTGAGGACTGCCAAGGGTAAATGCATTAGACTGGTCAATAACTAAGTGTGAGTAAACTTGACCCTCCCATCCAAAATGGCCTCGAAAAAAAGTTGGAGGGGAAGTCACTTCTCAGTCCCTTTACTTACTTAACACAACTCACAGACTGTCCCAGAAGACTAATAATATGAATAAGGCAATTCCTGTCTCTGAGTAAGGCCACAGAGCATGGGAACTGGTGGCCCCACTGATCCCTCAAGAGCAGTATTTTGAGGGACAGCAGGGTTACAGTCAAAGCTGTAGCCTTGGCCTCTTCCTTTGAGGAGAGTACAGTCAGAGGAGATAGAGGAACAGCTCAGGTACATTTTTATTATCCTGATTCCAAAAATATTGTGATACTAAGACAGATCTGTTCCTCTTACTTGAAATCAGGTAACTTAACACGCTACCACAACTCAGTGGTCCACATCTAATAAAGTAGCAGAAACAAATAACGTGTGCTCTTGTTGGCATGAGAGCGTAGCGTTAAGTGCGTATCACGGGACACTGAGAGCCCTTGGGTAATTCTGCTTCACAGAGTGGGAGGTAACTCTAGAGAAGAATTACAACAGCAGACAGAAAGAGGGAGCCCCTCCCTGGTACACTTTGCAATCAAAGCACTTCCATCACTGGGCTTTGTCCTCAGGCCAGGACTGGAGAGAGTCTGGTTCCTCTCTCACACCCTATCACTAATGATGCAAGGTTGCAAAATGAGCCCAATGAAAGAGAATGCTTCTCCACGAAGCCCACAACAGATCTGGTCTAAGATCTTCACCCATTGGAGCCCCACTCCCGACCTTCGGCACTAGTCAGAGAGATAAGGGAGAAGACAAGAAGGAGCATCCCAACAGGGCCTCCTCCATGTGTCAGGAGACACTTTACATCCCCCAGTCTTCCCAGATGTGCAGCCCTCCTGCTGATCAGCATTCCTGGCCCCTGGGGGGTGCTCTTGCTAGAAATCAGAGTGGCCATTCTCAAAAGATAATCAAGGCCAGTCCCTTGGGAAGGACAGAATTGAACACAAGCAGATTTCTCCCTTCAGGTCTTTCTAGAACATTCACACAGATGGTTCTGTCTTTCAGGAGGAGCAGGGCATGCTAGCTTTCTCAAACTTACTGATCTGTGGTGTTGGTTTTAGGAGCATCCCTTCAGGGAACAGAGTTCCATGAACCACTACAACTTTGGAGATGGCAGTAATCAAATGTGCTAACAACACCCCTGATTGGACCTGTAATCAAGTTCCAGTCTGAGAACTGCTCTGTCACTTTTGAGGGACTCTACTATAGATGATCCCTGACTTACAATGATTTAACTTGTGACTTTTTGATGGTGAGAAAGTGATATGCATTCAGTAGAAACTGTTGAATTTTGATCTTATCCTAAGGTAGCATATGTGTTCTGGTCCTTTCTTGGGATTCTGCACAATAGCAGTGAACCACAGCTTCCAGGTGTCCACAGGATCACAAGGGGAATCAACCAACGCCATATAGTGTACTGTGTTTGCTAAGCTGTGATGTTCAGCTGGGTAGGTATATGAAATGCATTTTTGGTTTACAATAGGTTTACCTTCATTGTAAGTTAAGAAGCATCTATGTATCTGTTTGCTGCCATTAGTTTTAGTTTTCTCCAAGTTCTGAGGATACCTGCACAGAGCTCCAGCCTACCATCACTGTTGGTGACAGCCTCACAGACGGTTTCCCAAAGCCACATTTGGCTAGTATAGCTCACCTGACCTCCATTAAAACTTTTCCCTGATTGGCAGCTCGCTGCAGGCTCATTTCTTCACCCTGCCCACTTAGCAGTAAGTGCGGAAGGAGAGGAGCATCTCTCATTATCAGACAACTGAGTGACCTCCATTAGGCCCACTCTGACTTCTTTCTGCCCTCGTGTGTAAGCTGCTTCTCTGATCTACTTGCGAGTTTCTAACTCTTGCTGTGGAATGCCACAACAGCAAGCCTTTAAGGCCGCCCACCTGGAGTGGTTCTCACATGGTCCTTTTCAAGCTCTTCAGCTCTGGGTTTGTAACTCTCCCACGATTGCCCCATAAAGTTGCAACGTGGATGGATTGTCCACCAAGAGTGGATATTTTGGCCTGACCTAAATGTCCATCACTTGCTGTTGTAAATCCTTTCTGAGGGGTTGTGATGGCCTACAGTCCTGATCCTATATATCAAGTGGAATTGTGTGCAGTGTTCAGTATCCAAAATAAATGGGACATCAGTTTTGCATTTGGCATTAACCAACTCATTAAATATAAAATAAACACAAGTAAATGGCTTTTAAATCTTACTGACAGAGAGCTTGGCAACCACCGTGAGCTTCTGGAGGTCTCTGGAGCCTCTCTCTTCAAACAGGAACCTTCCTCCAAGGAGCAGAAGGGGGTTCCCACTAAGTAAAAAAGGGTATCTTGGTACCCCTTCCAGATGAGGGTTCCTCTGAAGTGCCAGTTGCCCTGCCAAAGGCCCTATCCAGAAAAAAATGAGATCTGCCTGAAGCAAACACAGACAGGGAAGTGGATGCTAAGTTTACAAAGTGTTAGATTACTTGTAAATATCTAGGAACAGCCACCAAACCAAGCTTGGGTTTCTACTTGCTCCCAGTTTTCTGTTCTCAGAAAACCAATATTCAAACTGGGCATGGTTGTATACATCTGTAATCTCAGCTACTATGGAGATGGAAGGAGAAGGATCTCAAGTTTAAAGTTAGCCCAAGTGAAGTTAGGGATACGTTATCTCAAAAAAAATAAAATAAAATAAAAACAAAAGAGCTGGGGGTGTGGCTTAAGTGGGAAAGTGCCAAGTGCTAGTCCTTGAGGTCAATCCCCATACCTCAAAAGGGAAGGGAGGGGAAGGGAGAGAGGGAGGGAAAGATGGGGGGAGAGAGAAAGAAAGAGAAGAGAGAGACAAAGAAGGAAGGGAGGGAGGGAGGAAAGGGAAGGGAAAGGAAAGGAAGGAGGGAAGGAAGGAGGGAAGGAAGGAGGGAAGGAAAGGAAGGAAGGAAAGGAAGGAAGGAGGGAAGGAAGGAAGGAAGGAGGGAAGGAGAGAAGGAAGGAGGGAAGGAAGGAAGGAAGGAAGGAGGAAGGAGGAAGGAAGGAAGGAGGGAGGGAAGGAAGGAAGGAGGAAGGAAGGAGGAAAGGAAGGAAGGAAGGAGGAAAGGAAGGAGGGAAGGAGGGAAGGAAGGAGGGAAGGAAGGAAAGGAAGGAGGGAAGGAAGGAAGGAGGGAAGGAGGGAAGGAAGGAGGGAAGGAAGGAAAGGAAGGAGGGAAGGAAGGAAAGGAAGGAGGGAAGGAAGGAGGGAAGGAAGGAAGGAAGGAGGGAGGGAAGGAAGGAAGGAGGGAAGGAAGGAGGGAGGGAAAAAGGAAGGAGGGAAGGAGGGAAGGAAGGAAGGAAGGAGGGAAGGAAGGAGGGAGGGAAGGAAGGAAGGAGGAAGGAAGGAAGGAGGGAAGGAAGGAGGGAGGGAAGGAAGGAAGGAGGGAAGGAGGGAAGGAAGGAAGGAAGGAGGGAAGGAAGGAAGGAAGGAGGGAAGGAAGGAAGGAAGGAAGGAGGGAAGGAAAGAAGGAGGGAAGGAAGGAGGGAAGGAAGGAAAGGAAGGAGGGAAGGAAGGAAGGAAGGAGGGAAGGAAGGAAGGAGGGAAGGAAGGAAGGAGGGAAGAAAGGAGGGAAGGAAGGAAAGGAAGGAGGGAAGGAAGGAAAGGAAGGAGGGAAGGAAGGAAGGAAAGGAAGGAGGGAAGGAAGGAAGGAAGGAGGGAAGGAGAGAAGGAAGGAGGGAGGGAGGGAAGGAGGAGGGAAGGAAGGAGGGAAGGAAAGGAGGAGGGAAGGAAGGAAGGAAGGAGGGAAGGAAGGAAGGAGGAAGGAAGGAGGAAGGAGGGAAGGAAGGAAGGGAAGGAGGGAAGGAGGAAGGAAGGAGAAGGAGGGAAGGAAGGAGGAAGGAAGGAAGGAAGGAGGGAAGGAAGGAGGGAAGGAAGGAAAGGAAGGAGGGAAGGAAGGAGGGAAGGAAGGAAGGAGGGAAGGAAGGAGGGAAGGAAGGAAGGAAGGAAGGAAGGAGGGAAGGAAGGAAAGGAAGGAGGGAAGGAAGGAAGGAAGGAGGGAAGGAAGGAAGGAAGGAAGGAAGGAAGGAGGGAAGGAAGGAAGGAAGGAAAGGAAGGAAGGAGGAAGGAAGGAAGGAAGGAAGGAGAGAAGGAAGGAAGGAGGGAAGGAAGGAAGGAAGGAGAGAAGGAAGGAGGGAAGGAAGGAAAGGAAGGATGGAAGGAAGGAAGGAAGGAAGGAAAGGAAGGAAAGGAAGGAGGGAAGGAAGGAAGGAGGGAAGGAAGGAAGGAGGGAAGGAAGGAGGGAAGGAAGGAAGGAAGGAAGGAGGGAAGGAAGGAGGGAAGGAAGGAAGGAAGGAAGGAGGGAAGGAAGGAGGGAAGGAAGGAAGGAAGGAAGGAGGGAAGGAAGGAGGGAAGGAAGGAAGGAAGGAAGGAGGGAAGGAAGGAGGGAAGGAAGGAAGGAGGGGGGAAGGAGGAGGGAAGGAAAGAAGGAGGAGGGAGGGAAGGAAAGAAGGAAGGAGGGAGGGAAGGAAGGAAGGAAGGAAAGGGAAGGGAAGGAAAAAGGGAAGGGAAGGGAAGGATTTTCTGAATCCTGTGTACGTTCTACCACGAGTTTTCATAGTTCTCAAGGTCGCACTACTAATGCTACTTTCTGGACATTTCTTTTCTCCCAACTTATCTGTAGTTTCACATAAGGAGGGCTTATTTAAAAAGAGGATAGCCCAGGTTATCTAATTATTTAATTCTTTACTTCAAGCCAACTGTTCAGAAAAAAAATCACAACAATTTTTCTGGTCAGGTGTCAAAACTATTGACTTTGTTGGATTACTTCAGTCAGCTTTCTTTTTTGCTGTTTTTGTCTTTGTTTTGTTTGTTTGTTTGTTTTGGTAGTACTGGAGTATGAACTCAGGGCCCGAGCTTGCTCGGCAGGTGCTCTACCTCTTGGGCCACATCCTCAGTCCTTAGTCAGCTTTCAAAGTCCAACAACTTCAAGGCAAAAGTTAGTAATATCTGAAGCTAGTCTAAGTAGCTTCCATTTATGTACAGTTTTTGGAACTTTTTTTAATGATTTGGTCAATTTCAGAATGCAATCAAAGCACTAAATGACAATGAACGATGTACCCTATCAGATCTTAGTACTATATAATTAAATCAGTAGACAAGTTAGGCTTTAAACAAACACATGCCATGCTTTCCTTTGTCCTTTTGAAGGCTTTCTGCAGTCTGTTTGAAATCACACGATCGCTTTTCTTCCCCTTCACACACTTCAGAACTTTTGTACTCTGAATTTGTCAGGAGCGTCCAGTCATGATTTCAGAACTGCAAGGATCCAAGAGGCCTCCAGAACCACACAACCATACTTCTGGTAGTTTTAGGAAATCAAACTTTTGCAGCATGAAAACAAAGAGCATTTTACCCTACTTTCTTTAGAAAGAAATTTTTCTAGGATAGAAAACAACTCATTCTCAAGATTGATTTTTTTCCAACAAGGTGGGCTGAGCTGCCATTCAACGCCACTAGGTGGCACCCCTCCTTTCAGGTCTGTTTCATTTTGGTCATACTAAGGGTAGGGTCAGTTCCCTGAGCAAGATCAAAGGGGATGATAGACATCAAACCAGAGGTCTTTCTGTCTCTTGTGCACTGTTCACTCACATATGTTGGGACATGTTTTGATTGTTAGTAGGATGTATTTTGTTTGTCTTTCTTTTCACATGGTCCAGAGCAGAGTCTGGCAAGTCTAATGAATGGTTTTCTACCCAGACATTTTTACTTTCCTGCATCTCGGAGGCGAGGCACTGCATGTGTTAAAAGATCTATCAAATCCTCACAGCCGCTGCCTCAGAAGCAGTACACAGATCCAAGAAGATCTATGGAAATGAGTATCTTGAGTGCCTGCAGAAGTCTTTACGCCCTTTCAAAAGCTATCTGGGGCCTGAAGAGAAAATGAAGTGGTATTCCAGCCTTATTTGGAGAACTATTTAATTTCCAATGCATGCTCCATGCACAGGAATAATAAAACATTTCAGAACATTCTTCTGGCTTACCCATTCTTCCTTCTTTTCTCTTCTCTTTGCCTAAAACTAGTAGCAAGATGATAAAGTTTAGCGCTCTTGGCAGGAGAATTATTCCATAATGATAATTAAACGGCATTTTTAGAATCTTAGCATCACTTAAGTGACTTAAAAGTCCTAGTAAATTAACAAGACTATATTTCTTTGCTTTGTGTGCTGGGACCCTGAACAAGGATGTTCAAGAGGAAAAACTTGGAAATCACAGATCTAAAGGCATCACAAAGGTGTCAGTTCTGGACTGCTGTGCTTCAGGTGCTGTCATTGTTGAGAATATTTTTTAAAGGCTTCTGATAGTCCAGAACACATGATTCCCATTACTGACCCAGCAGGTACACAGGGTCTCCCACTTTGATTGTCCCTGGGTTTTCCAGAACATAATACTGTCCAAAGAGGGGTGATTTTCCATATAACTTTTCTTCTGAAGGGTCACACAGGCGATAACTGAAACAAGAGAAAAACCATGAGTCCCAGACAAGCAGAAAGACAAACTCAGACAGCAAGTGGCTTCCCCTGAGCTGAAGCAAGTGCCCACCCTACAATGGCCCCATTCCCATTGACTAACAGAACAGCACCCCACCCCCAAACAGGCCAGAGGGTAGTCTGCCCTGTGCATAGCTACAGGAGCGGGCCAGTGGTCATGTCCCCACAGCTTTCCCCCACACTCTTGTCTCCTTTTTCAGCATTCAGACATTAGATACTCAGTATGTCTAGACATATTCTGTCACCTTCCCTTCTCCCCTCACTCCTCCATATCTGTCACCCAACCTGGGGTCCTTGCAGACTCTAGGATGGAGCCCTGGAGCCATCCTTCATACCTTTTTCCTTCTTGTCCACAGTTGCCCAGTCCTGAGGGTCTACCCTTGACTTTGCTCACTTCTCATTCCCACTGTCACAGTCTTGCTTCTAGCATGCTCAGGCTCCATTAGAGGAAATGTAGTAACTCATGAACCCACCTCTCTTCTTCTTTCCCCACTTCAATTTATTGTAAGCACGACTCTGTATGACTGTCTTAATTTTGTTCTGATCTTACCATTTCTAGACTCTGAAACCACCAATGGCTCCCCATGTCCAAAGAACAACATTCCAAGTCTTTGGCCTGTCATAAAAGGACCTCTTCTGGCCCCAGCCAGCTTTTCAAACCCTCTTCCCTCTGCTCCTCATCTGCACCTATGTAGCAGAGACTCTGCTGAATTCCTCAGCCTGGTTTCACCTCGTCTGGTTTTGTGTGTGTGTGTGTTTTGGTTGATGGTGTGGTTGGTTTGTTTGTTGGTAGTAGAGGAAATTGAACTGAAGGTCTCACGCTTGCTAGGCAAAGCACTCTATTACTTGAGTCACTCTCCCACTCCCTTGTTTTTTATTTTACCAGCTTGGTGATTGATTCCTCTGTGATTCCTGTGGGATGCGCCTTCCCCACTTCCTCAAGCAGCCAAATTCCACCTTTTCCTCCAGGCCCAACTCAAATGCCACATGTCCCTGGAAGGAAGCCCAGAATGCCCCAACCCGGGGCTAATTCCGCCCCCACATCAACTTCTCTGCTTCCCAAACCCTCTTGTGTCTTGTTGTAGAGGGTCAGAGCACATGTCTGTCTGTTCTATAAGACAGGAAGTCCCTGAGTGGATTGGGGGTGAATCCAACTCCCTCTTCCTCTCAAACCCAGCACTGGGCCTTGTATGTCGTCACCCTGACACATAATGATTTGTTAAATGGGTGCGTTGGTGAGTGAAACTGTTTTTTTGCTGTTGTTTTTGTTTTGTATTTTGGTGGGACTGGGAAGCAAGGAAGGAAGGAAGGAAGGAACGCAGGCAGGAAGGAAGGAAAGAAGGAAAGAAGGAAGGAAGGAAGGAGAGAAGAAGAGAGGTGAGAAGAGGGAAGGAGAGGGAGAAAAGAGGGAAGGGGGAGGGGAAAAGGGGAACAGAGAGACAGAGAATAATCTTTGTCAGGTGGAAAACTAAGAAGCCCAATGAAGAGTCTGCATGAGCAGATGTGTGGGTACAACATGGCCAAATCTGACCCACGACACTCCACCAGGAGACATATTTCCTTTAGTTTCTCACTTAAGCTGACCCCCTTCTAGTTCATTTTCATATTTAAGACATTTATATTGAAAGCATTAACTTTATTCTACCTTTCTTTAAAAAATACCCATTACAACAACCTAGTTCTAATTTTGCTCTTCACAAATGGTTAATGAGAACATGCAGTCCACTCTGGAAGCTTCTCTGGAGACCTCAGTACCTCTCCTGGCTCTGAACACCTTGTAGTGCCCACCACATCTGCTTTGTTTTCTGCTGTATTCCCAAGTCCTGGTACAGTGTCTGGTACATCGTGGTCAGTCAAGAAAATGTTAAACAAATGAAGAATAAATGGAAAATGAGAGCTGCTGATCCAAGCTGCCCCAACTGGCCAAGAGTGGCCTGTGACGCTCACCCCATATTCTTCAGTGGCTTTGAACCCTGCAAATCTAGGCACCCTTTTTCTCCTGCTCCTCCTTGGTCAGCAGACAACAGTGAGGACATTTTGGAATCCATGCCTGCCAAAGAGTAGCCCCTCAGGATCAGAAGCAGAATGGCCACTTCTATGACTTGGGACTTCTTGGCTCCCGGGCTCTGCATATATCAGGGAGGAAACACTGTACATTGCCCATCTCTTACATACATGGCCAACACTTCATACGTCACTTCTTTTCATCCTTCCACAAGTCTGTGTAGGAATTTGTGCCTTCCTGAGTTTTACAGGATGAGTCTCAAAAGTACCTGACCTGCCTAAGACATCATAGCTAAATGCTAGGCTGGGGCCGGAGAACTCCATCAGGAGGATGTGTGCTACCTGGGATATAAGCCCTGGTCCTCCATATTCTTCCTGAGCAATCACTAGCCTATGAAGAGCCAAGGGGTCCAATATGCTACCCATCTACCCTAAGATTGAGGCACTAATGGGTTTTACCTGCCCCTTCCCATCAGCCACACAAGTATATGCTCACCCTCCCCCATCAGGAACCCGCGGACTCAAAAGAGTTGCTGCCCTCCCTGCCTAGCACCTTACACTCAGAGGGGTGCACTGAAGAATTGGTTTGTAAAAGCCCAGGTTTGGTTACTTGGTTTGTAGGTGGCAAACCATTCTGCTGTCTGGAAATAGAAAAAGGAAAGAGCTATGGGAGTGAAGAATTGGTTGGCCCAGCCTACCAGGGCTTCCCCAGAGAAGTGACATACCTGCTCTGGCACCTGTACCATCAGAAGCTGCTAGCCAACACCAGCCCTCCAAGGTGTGGGGAAAATAACCGAGGTCATTAGCGGCCTCTTGTGGGCACTTTGGGACATTGCAAGCAGTCTGCTCAAGGGTTCAACAAGCATTAAAATCACAGTATTTCATAAGGGATCACAAGTGGATCTTCTCATAATGAATCTTCTATTACTTTAAAAATATATGTGTGTGCACATGTTGTGTATTAATAAATTACAAGCTCATTTAAAAGAGACTTTCTAGTGCATTTTCTTTCAATGGACATAAAACACAATGTGCAGGAGGCCCCTAGATGTATTAATAAGCTTAAAGAGAGGTCACCAAGGGCTAGGGCTGTGGCCCAGTGGGAGAGCACTTCTCTAGCATGCATGAAGGCCTGGGTTGCATTCCCAGCACTGCACAGAACAAGCAAGCAAAATCCCCCAAAGAGAGGCCTCTACACTTACAGGGCGTGGTATAATAGAAACACTTGGTCACCCGTGACGTGCTATGCACCAGTGAGGGCCACTCACTATGCACACTGCCTAATTTTCTCATTTCCTTGTCAGTAACCAGGCCATGACTACAGGCAGAATCAATCCTCCTGTGAGGATCATGAGGCCACAGGTCTCCCTGGGGATAGGCCGCTTTTGAGGTCCCACAACCTACTAGCTCCATGACCAAGTTCAGAATTAAGCAGCATTGTGAAAGCTCCCAGGAAGATCCACATCAATTCTGCCACCCCCACCAGCCATTGATCCAGATTCTTGGGTTTCACATAAAGCAGCCTCTAAGAATGGAAAGTGTCTTCAGTTTCTCCTTCTTGCAAAAGGTGTCAAGTTTATAAAATAGGACTATCAGTGACTATAGACTTGCACAGGTATTATGGACAGTACTTTATCATGTATTTCTTAAAAATCATACTGAGGGGTGTGGTGGCTCACACCTATAATTCCAGCTACTCAAGAGGCTGAGATTAGGAGGATACAGTCCAAGACCAGCCTGGGGGAAAAGTTAGCATGATCCGATTTCAACAAATGAGCAGAACATGGTGGCACATGTGATCCTAGCTATGTGGGAAGCATAGATCAGCAAATAAGATATCCAAGGCCAACCCCAGTTACCTGAAAAATAACTCAAGCAAAACAGGTTGGGCGTATGACTCAAGTCATAGAGTACCTGCCTAGCAAGCAAAAGCCTGATTGGTCAAATCCCAGTACCACCAAAAGTAAATCACATTTGTCACCTTATTTCAGTTACCAGAAGAGCTATAAATCCAGTTGTTACAAATATAGACTGAGATTTCAAGAACCTGAGCGACAATCTGATATCACAAAATTAGTATGTGACAGAGGCAGATTAGGGGGGCCTGACTCCTCCCAGGAAGTCACCACTCCTTCGTCTTTCCACCTTTAGCTCAGCATGCCTCAAAGGGCTAGTGGCACACCATTAATGTCAGAGTACTCGGGCCACCAGCAGAACTTCTGAGTACCTTTGCAGTGAATGTGCTTTATTCTTTCTACGAAGGGCAATGCTGTTGTAGAAGTACTAGTGACAGAATCGGTCACTCCGTAAGTGCTGGATCCCTGTGTACATCATTCTCCCTTAAGAAAGAACAGAGTAATTCCAGCCTGGCTCTGACTGTGGGACTGACATCGGTAGGCCAGACCAGGCAGGTGGGCAGAGGTCTGTCTTCTGCTAAGCACCTGCAATCCGGATGCTGCAGCTGCCCCTGGGCACCGCACAGAGCACAGAGACACATGGCAGTGTGGCTGAGAGGCTGAGTTGATGCCACTGTGTGCTTCCCTCCTGTGATTTATGTGATGGGGTGTGGCCTTTCTCTTCCCAACTCATGGCCACCTGTCCTGGGAAGCACGTAAATTACTATACCATGGTCATTTAAATCTCAGTAAGAGACAGAAGGTACCTAGGATGGCTGCACTGTCTCCAGGGTTTTAGAAGCAATTAGGGCCATACTGCATAAAGCCTGCAGAAGATGGGGGAGGGGAGTAGAACTGTACGTGCCCCCACCTTGTTCTGGGTTCAGGGTCAATTACTCTCCTAGAAACAGCGCTCCAGTGGAGGGAGGGACGCTGATGACTCCAGGAGTGGAATGCTATGGGGCCTTTTCTGCCTGCACAGAAACTTCCTACAACCAGAGGGAAGGGAATCTGAGGGCAAACAATGTGTGAGGGAGAAAGGACAAGATGAACAAAAAGACCAGTCCTCCCAATCTCACGGAATCGTCTAGTTCTGACCTGTCTCCCTAATAAAGAATGGTCAGGGCCTGGTGAAGGGAACTTGGTCACAATAGCTTCTGGGCTCTTCCCACCTTTCTGGGCCACCCTACCTTTCTCCTTGTAGCTCCTCTGTCACCATGGAAGACAGGAAGATGGAATTGTGCTTGTTCTGAGCCTGAGCGAACACGTTTCTGACATGGCTGTAGTGTCCATGGTTGGCTCTCACACCTTGCTCTTCTCACACATAGTGACACTTTCCCCCAGGGTTACAGTGGTCCCCCCATATTCTCTGGAGATACATTCCAAGACCCCCAGTGGATGCATGAAGCTGGAGGTAATGCCAAACCACTCACTTACTTTTTAATGTATTTTTAATGGCTGGGAACCAATCCCACAAGCTAGGCAAGCATCTACCGTGCAGTGGCGTTACATCCTTAGCTCGAACCCTGTAAGAACTGTTTTCCTCTACATGTCACATCTGTGATAAAGCTTAATGAACCAATTAGGCACAGGAGAAATTAACTATAACTAATTATAAAGACCAGATGCCATAATAAAAGCTATTTAAAAGTTATGAACTATTTATTTCTGGAATTTCCCATTTAATATTTTTAGAATGTGGTTGACCACAGGTAACTGAAACCATAGAAAGCAAAATTGCAGATAAAGAGGGACTACCGTATGATGAAAATTTTCAAACAGGCAAATAAAAGAAGTTTACAGAAAACACCATTTACTAACTGCTTAATTTCTATACTTCACATTTCACCATATTCCCTGGATCCATATTTATCCATCCATTAATCCACTGTATTTCTTTTTCATTTCCAAATGTGTTAGTCAGTTTTCCATCACTGTGGCAAAATACCTGAGATGATCAACTTATAAAACGAAAAGGTTTATTTTGGCTCACACTTTCAGATGTTTCTGTCCACATCATTAGCACCATTGTCTTTGGGCCTATGGCAAGGCAGTGCATGGTGAGGAGCATATTGTCAAATAAAGCTGCTGTTCAATGCATGGCAGCCAGGAAAGGGGTGGGGAGGAAGAAGAAGAGGGAGATGAAGAGAGGGAAAGAGGAAGATGAAAAGAGAAAGGATGGGGTCCCCATATTCCCTCCAAGGGCCCATCTCCAATCACCTAACTTCCTCTCAGTAAGTCCCACTTCTTAAAGGTTCCACTACCTTTAAATAGCATCATGAGCTGGGGACCAAGTCTTTAACCTGTGGGCCTTTTGGACTCACTTGTTCCAACCACAGCACCGGTAAGGTGCAGATATCAGCACACCTCTAAAGAGTTCAGTCTGTATAACATTACATAGAGTTAATATTGTACTTACTTCTTTTTTGGTACAATTTACATGGAGTGAAACGTACCTCTCTTCAATGCTTCATAGCATTAACTATGTTTGTTTGCTTTGGTGGTACTGGGATTTGAACTCAGGGCCTCTTGATTGTTAGGCAAGTATTCTACTTCTTGAGCTATACCTTCTGCCCCATATTATTAACTAGTTATGAAAGCTTGAGTATTGAAAAATATACAACATCCCTCAAAATGCATGTATGATGGTTAATCTTGATTGTCAATTTGATTGCTCCCACAGGGCCACCTAAGGAAGTGTCTTCCTGGGTTCATCTGCTCAGGCACTGAGAGGCTGTTGCAGCCATGGTCAAAAGCGAGTCACATACAAATCACTCTTCACCAGACCTTGGTGCCTTCCATGTGATGCAGGTTTTGAATGAAAGCTTTGGGATCATGGAGGCTTCCATGGAGACTTCAAAGGAAGGCCTGAGAGGCAAGGCAATGTGTAACAGGATCAGGACCCCTGCAAGCAGCCCTGGAGAGGGCAATGCTTGAAGCAGTGAGGGTAAAGCCTAAGCTGCAATGGAAATCCCAGGATATCAGAGATGCCAGGAATGTAGAATGGCTGCTAAGGAAAGCTGTTGGTAACAAGTGGAGCCAGCCTGAGAGAGGCACATGGGCTACAAATGGCAAGGCCATAGGGACAGGGCTGCCCAAGCCACTGGATCTCGCATCACACCACCAGTACGCATGGGTTTAAGGCTTACCTTTAAAGGATTACACAAGGTTACAGGATTTAAGCTTACCCTGTCAGATTTCAGTCTTTCTTTGATCCATTCCTTTCTTGTTATTCTCCCATTCCTCCCTTTTGGGAATATTTACTCTATGCTATCATATGTTGGAAGTATGTAACTTAGGCCTTTTTTTTTTTTTAACAATGGTTCACAGCTACAGCTAAGAGTTGCCTTGAGTCTCAGAGGAGAGCTATTGCAAAGTGTTGGAAATATTGAGACTTTGGAAACTTTTAGAGATGGACTAAATACATTTTGCAATAGGAGATATCCATAAGACTTTAGGGGTGAGGGCAAGGGTGGAATGCTGAGGTTTGAATAGGAAATGTCTTCCACAGGCTCTTGCATTAAATGCTTGGTTTTCAGCTGGTAGCAAAATTTGTGAGGTTCTGGAAACTTTAGGAGGTGGGACCTAGCTGGAAGAAGTAGGACATTGGGAGCAGGCCCTTAGGGGTGTCTTGTTCCTGGATCCTTTCTGTCTCTCTTTCTCTCTTTCCTTCCTATCAGCTATGAGGTGAAGATGCTGCTCCACACATGCTCTTGCTGCTGTGATGTCTGGCTAAGCAATCATGGACAGAACCCTCTGAAACCATGAGCTAAAATGAAACCTTCCTCCCTTATGTCATTTATGCCAGGTATTGTGGTCACAAAAAATCAAAAGCCAACTAAGCTAACATAGCATGATTCACCTTAGGTTGGCCTGCAGGTCCTTGTTTGGATGTTCCTGTAAACTCTTGGCTAAGGCAAGAGGAGCCAGCCACGTGCCATATGTCCCACAAACTCCCTTTCTCCTTAATTCATCTCAGACCACCTTGTTTGACTTCGCTCCCACTCTCCTTCTCGCTCTGTGCCAGGTGGCTTATATCCTCCACTGCCATCTGCTCACTTTGCAGTGGCCTGGTCCTCAGCCTGGGACACCAGGTGCTGGCCAGAGGGGCAGGTCCATGGTTAGAGATAACACACCAGCTCTGCAGCAAGGGCTTTGGCTTGCCCAGGGAAGAGCCAGAGAGTAACTTCCAGACTGTAGGATGGGCAGGAGGGATGGGTGCTGACCAATGAGAACTAAACTATTGGCCTTAAAGAGACTGCAAGGTGGAAGAGACTCATGTTCCAGGGAGGGACTCCTGCCACACCAGCCCCAAACATGACCTCTCTTCAGTGTGCCTTTTCAGGATGGTTTCCATGCACTATGGCCACACCTCAACTTCATGCTTTCCTCAAGTCTTCTAGGACTTTGCTCGAAGTTAAACTTGCCTCATCCTCCCTGCTACAAGTGACACATTGGAACATTAAATTAGGCACAAAGCCAAAGGGTCTCAGGGGCTGCAGAGAGGACACCTGACACCTTGCCTGTGATGCTGCATTTAACATGGAAGACACCAATTAAAATGAGCACCACTGGCAGGCTTGGTGACTCGCGCCTGTAATCCCACCTACTCAGAAGGCAAAGATCAGGAGGATCAAAATTCAAGGCCAGGCTGGGCCCAGAGTTTGTGACACCCCCATCTCAACCAATAAAACTGGGCATGGAGGTTCAGACCTGTTATTCCAACTATACAGAGAGCATAAAAAGTAGAATCGCAGTTCAGGCCAGCCAGGGAGGAAATGAAAAGCCTTGGGGGGAATGGCTCAAGTGACAGAGTGCCTGCCTAGCAAGCACAGGCCCTGAGTTCAAATGAATAAATAAATAAAATGAGCACCATTTTTGGAATTCCACCAATTTCCTGGGCTCCAGATATGGCAGACAAAGCATGGAAGTGCATAAATCCTAAATCTTTGGTGTTGCTGTTTTAGTAAAAGTCACTTTAGAGACTACATTTGAGAATAATTTTTCCTATAATTCTGTTTCCAGAAAAACATCCCTGCTAATGCTTTGGCTTGCATCCTTTCAGCCTTTAAATACTCGTGTACATGTTTATTTATTTAATTTTTTAAAGAAAAGTCATATAAAAACTAAAAAGTAAATATTGCCTCTGTTCTTTTGTAATCAGCCTTGCTGGTTATCTTGACCAGCTTTGTATACAATGTAAAATTATTCTCTGTAACTTTGTCTCTCATCTGAAAGTCTTCTCATGAAATCCCAAGACAAACATAAAAGTAGAAAGAATAATGGACAACCTCCCCACAATTATTACCAGATTGTATTTCTAAAGATTTTCACATATTTTCATGTTTTGCTTTACTTTATTTTGTTTGCATTTTAAGACAGAATCTTGTTATCTAGCCCAGGATGACCTCAAATTCGAATCTTTCTGCCTCCCAAGTGCTGAGATTACAGGTGTGTACCATCCCCAGGCCCAAAACTGGATTTCTTCCAGTACTGGGGATTGAATACAGGGACTTACGTATGCTGGGCAACCACTGTGCCACTGAGCTATATCCCCCTAGATCTCTCTTTTTGATAAAATAAAATATAGCAGATCCCAGACATCAGGTCACTTCACTCCTACCTATATATTTCAACAAGCTTCTCTAAAATATACTGGCCGTTTCTCATATAAGCACAATACCATTGTGGCCCTTAAATAAAGTGCTATCATCTAATACTCTATTTGCCAAAATGTCCAAGCAATTAAAAAATTATTCAGCTTATTTGAATCATGAATTCTAAATGGAAAATGAAATTATTCATGCAAGCAAACATTCTGGTGACCAAAATACCCCAATCTTTCGCAAATGGCCCAGTCATTGGGCTTCCTTTAGCTTCAAGACCATTTGTGTGTTCTGTTTGCACAGCTTCCTCTTAAAAATAGTAAGTAATAAACATCACCCTAACCCAGGACTATCTCCGAGAATGACACCCCTTCTGCCTAGTTGTACCTCTTCAGTGTATCCAGGGGTTCCTTCCTGCTCATGATGCCAGTATCGGGGTCCACTGTGGTTAACACGCACCTGAACACACACATATACACACAGAGTGTCATAACAGGGGACAAAGCAGACTGATCTTGCTCTCCCTTCCCCAGGCATGGTAGGGACAGGAAAGAGCCTTACCTGGAACAAGCCATCACCCTTTTCAGTTCCACATCCCCAATAAGAACCTCATTCCAAGTATCCTAGGAGGAAAAAAACAAATCCCTATGAACACCTCTTGACCCTGGCCCTGACAGGCCTCATAGGAACTTTTCAGAAGTTACACCTAGTGGTGTCATTTATACCAAAGATGGCAGATGTTTACTTCATACCAATGGATACCCACACACCATTGTGTTCCCTCCCTCTGCCTGTGACATGTCAGTCCGTACACATGAAACGTCTCTGCCCCCTTGTAAAACTGTCATGGAAACTCCTCTCCTCAGGAGGCCTCCCTGACTGATCCCACTCGACTCCTGGCAGGGACAGAAAGGATGAAGATGGGGGGACTGACCAGGAAGAATTACTCATCACTCTAGAATGTATTAGATCCTTTGTGTATGCCTAAAGTTACATGGATTAAGAATCTTAAATGAGGACAGGAGTAATGGCTCAACAGTAGAGCAGCTGCTTAGCAAGTTCAAAGCTCTGAGTTCAAACCCTAGTAATGCCAAAAAAAACCACTTAAGTCAGCTGGGTGCGGTGGTTGGTGGTAACACCTGCAATCCCAGCACTTGGGAGGTTGAAGCAGGAGGGTCTTGAGTTCAAAGCCAGCCTGGGCTACATAGTGAGAACCTATCTCCAAAAAAAAATAAAAAGACCCTCAAGTCACCACATATGTGCATCTTGAATCTCTGCTGGTCAGATATGAACAAATCAGGAATATTAAGACCTTATTTCCAGGTGATCTCCACTGGAGCCCTAAGAGAGAGCTCAAATGTTGGGCTACTGGTACCTGCTCTTCAGGACAAATCAAGTCAGTGGATTGAGTTCTCAAATTCAGCTGGGACACAGGACATACATGCACAAAAAAAAATCAAAGATCAATAAGTGTTCATTATAGAAATGCCAAGAGAGGATAATGAGAGGACAGGTGAGTGTGATCAAAGTATGCTATAGTCATGTATGAAAATATCACAATGAAACCAATTATTTTGTAAAATTAATATATGCTAATACACAATGTTATAAAAACCTGAGAGAGCACTGTGTGTGTGTGTATGTGTGTGTGTGTAGTGTGTTTAATCACAAACGATAGTCACTGTAGAATTCAGAGGAACACATCCAGGCTGGTCTTCTCTGAGGGGAGCTGTATGGCATAGGTGAGATGGAAACTGAATCTTAGATGGCAGAAGGGTGAGGGGGTCCAGCCAGGGAGGGCAGAACATGAAAATAAGGACAGGGCTGGGAGGTGGCTTAGAGGGAAAGCACATGCTTAAAATGTCCAGGGCCTTAAGACCATCTCAGCACCTAAAAGAAAAAAAAAAAAAAGGAAAGACTCTGAGGAAGCCAAGAACATAGGCCTACAGCCCTGACCCTCTCACACTCAGAGAGAAGTGCTGCTTCCTCAGGGCTGAAGTGAGTTAAAACACACCTGCCATGTCCTTTGCTGACCACAAGAAGAGACACAGCTCCAATCTCAAAGTTTTAATCCAACAGGGCATGTTATTCATGATATATGCATTGCATGGTTTTTGTTTTGCTTAGCTTTGTTTTGTTTGAAATCATAACATGGGTCCCTTAATTGTATATTTCTCAGAGGTTCAGAAAATTAGGCAACAGATTAGAGCAGCCACGGTCTGTCCTATGAATAATTGTCCATCAGGGGGCACTGTGGCTATAAAAACAAACCTAAAGGTACAGCAAGAAAGATGGGAAGGAAATTAATTTATTATGGATTAGGGAAATATTTCCAGAACTCCTCCTAGATGAAATGAAAACTACTGGGGATTGAGGGCTGAATGTGGAGTTCAAGCAATAAAGCGTCTACCTAGCAAGCATGAGGCCCTGAATTCAAACTCCAGACTACCAAAATAAACAAACAAAAAACTATAAGGATTGAGTGACAGAAAATTAAGGTAAAAATTCCACAGTAAGGAAAGTACCTATTTGCCAAGTTTGGGTGGCAGGGAGGAAGAAACTAACAACTAGTGAACTCACACCAGAACTAGGGACTGTGTTGACCCAAAGAAGAGCCCATGAGCATCATCTATTAGGACAGGACACTTGGAAGCGGTTGACTGCAACAAGACAAGCCCAGGAGAGGTGCAAGCAGACCACAGTGTGGCCATCAGAGCAGACTTCACAAGGGAGGTGGCTTTTAATCTGGGCTTTGAAAGAAGGTTGGGAGTTTTAAAGGGGACAGAGGGCAAAAGTCTAGGTGACCAGGAAGCAGGAGAATATGTGTTAGTTCTAGGTCCAGTTTGGAGTTTTTATAGGAAATAAAGACTGGGAGAGCCAGCTGTGGTGGGATCTTAGAGGTGGGAAGTTTGGACCTTTTGGGAGCTGAGGAGCCACAGGAGGCCTTGGAGCAAGGCAGTCACACACATGAGAGGAAAAGCTCATACTAGAACCCTGGGAGGCTTGGCTGTGGCAATGCCCGAGAAGGAGCATCAGTGGTCCAGGCGTGACATAATAAACTCTGATATAGGTCGTGGCCAATAGAGGAGAGCAAAGCAAATGTGGCTTGACCCAGGAGGAACAGGATTGAGGGTGATCCAGAGGCAACTCTGAAGCTCTAAACCTGGGTGAAAGAAAGAACGTGAAACCCTTGGCAGGAATTGTAAAGTGAAGAAGAGGAGTTTGGAGGGTGGTGAGGTCTGGGGGTTGTCTGTGAGCCCAAGGAAGGCAGAGAGAGAAGGGGGTCAGGTCAGAACTTTTGAAAGCCTCTAGGTTGAATAAAGAGAAGGACACACAACACAGAGGCAATGACAGTGCATCTAAGGGATAAAGTCCCTAGAGGCAGTGCCCATGGGTCCAAATGGCAGGGTGATGATGACCAAAGGTCTCTGAATATGGTAAGGTGGGGGTAAGGTGGTGCCACTCTGTGGTACTCTGTAGGACAAAAGGTTTAAGACTTGAGGTCAGAAGTACAGATGCTAATCATGAAAGAAAGCCCACAGTGAATGACAGGCTAGGTTCTGAGATGCTGTGTGGGTTTCATTTCCAGAAGCTTCTATGCAAACACACCTTTCTGGCTGACCGGGCCAGCTCTCTCTACCCTGCTGTACACTGACCTGACCTCTTCTAATCGTCTCCAGACTCCTGCCAGAGATCAATGTTACCAGGCAAAGCCAATTCTGTCCTTCTCTGATCTAAAATCCTTCCCAAACCTTTGCTCTCAGCTCCCTACCTCTTCTGAACCCCAGTGCTGCAGGATGGCAGGTCCCTTGAGCCTCCATAGTCTGCACACGTTCCAGGTTCCTCAGTGATTCCTTCTTCTCCCGGCCATCTCTAACCCTTCATGCAGTTAAACAATTAGGGACACCTGATATACGCCAGCACTGAGCTCAGCAGTCCCCGTCCTCAGAGAGTCACATGGTACACCAAATGATGATGTATGCCAGGGGACAGGTCATGCAAGCAGAGAAGCCAGGGTATTCAGCTGAAGCCTCACTAAAGAGGCAGAAAAGGTCTCAGTAGGGAACTGAAGGGAGGTGTGCATGCAGATATATTAGGAAGCCTTTGTCAGGCAGAGGAATATGCAAGGGCAAAGATCCTGGGGTGGGAAGGAGGCAGAGAGAGAAGGGCAGAGTGACAGGTGATGTGGCACTGGAGCAGCGGAGCACAGGGTCATTATAACAATTCTATATTTCACTTGAAGAAAGATGGAAAACTACCAAAGGGTGTTGAACAGAATAACATAATATGCCCTATGATTATAAGATGACTGACCTCACGTGGAGAATAGACTACGCATGGCAGTAGGATGGGCAGGGGATAGAAGCAGGGAGTGCAAAGGCTATTGCAACAAACAGTAGGAGAAGCAGTGGTACCCTAGTCCAGGGAGGGAGTGGAGAAGGGGAGAGAGCACACCAAGACTAATCAACTGTATAGATGAAGGACATGAGAGAAAGAGAAGAAAGAACAAAGGGTGCTTCCAAGTTTGGGACCTGAACAACTAGAAGTTTTCTCATATACTGTGATGGGAAAAACTTGGAGTGGAATTTGCTCCTCAATTTTGGACATCCTGAAGTTGGATTAGACATCCAAGGGGATGTACAGGTACAGAAGAAAGTGGGAAAGTTTTGGTGTAGGACTATTAGTTAGGAGGTCCTCGGTGTTGAAAAGGTTTTACAAAACCATAGGCCAGAGCATAAGCGTGGACAGATGGAAGAGGGCTCAAAGCTGAGCCCTGGGTGCTCCAGCCTCGAGCTCATCCCTCCTGCCTTGATGGTGTCGATAACCTGTGGATGGTCACTCACCTCTCTGGCCTCATGGCATTGGGTATAGCTGTTTGTTTGCTATTACCCACACTGGGCTTTGAGCTTCATGGGAGAAGCAACTGTGTTTCTTCCATCTTTGTTTGACTACATGTCTATCCACAGTGGCTGCAACAAAGGTGCCCTAACCCACTATGTGTGAAAGGGCATTAATAGAAACCACACCAGCTCAACTGCGGTATGGTATTAACAGCCACCTTCAAACACGAAATGTTCCCAATTAGAAAACACTTAGTGATACAGAGATAAAAGTTTTTAGAATAAGGTTCAATTCAAAGAAATCTCTTAGATCTGAAGCCCTACTCTGGATCATCTCCTCTTCACCCCTCTCATCTCAAAATTCTTCAATATGACCCATGCAGCAAAGATGAGGGGTGTGGTTATAGCCAGGGAGAAAGCCATACTCTGGGCCAAGCTCCTCTACTCTGATCACTATTGCTACCCTTCTATGCTACTTCATGTCTATCCATCTTGACTCTCAGAGCTCCCCTTGGGGCAGGGGACAAGTTGAAATTATCCACATTTAACAAATGCAAGAAGCAGAAGCCTTAAGGTGTTCAATGACCTGCCCAGGTCTCACTGAATAGTCACTTACTGAAACAGGTGGAGTAGGTTCTGGGTGTCCCAACACTATGCAGGCTTTATTAATTCTTAGGTTGCTCTGGCTTTGTGTACAATCTGGGTTCAAAGTCCAGCCCCTACACTTCTTGCTGAGGGACAGTCCCAGATGAGCCATCTGACTTTCTTAAGCCTATCCCTTCTCCCCTGCAAAATGGGCATGATTACTCTCACCCCATCGAGCTGCTGTGGGGAATGCAAGTGACAGCATATGTAAATTGCATACAAGCATTCAAAGAAAATGGTGCCAGCTCCTTTTTCTTGAAAAGGAAAAGCCTCAGTAGAAACCGGGTCTTCTGGTTGCAGCTGGTGCAAAAGGAATATGAATGAGATTCTCCAAAGCAACCAAACATTGATTCTTTCTTGTCTAAGTTATGCTGACCCATGAGCAAGGACAGACAGCTCCCTTGACACAGAGGAACCCACAGGCACAGCCCAACAGGATACTAATGCACACAGTTACTCACCTTGCACCAGAAACTTCTCTGCTATCTCTAGAACAAATTATGTGGTTAGAAGCTTGGGACTAAACAGACAATATTTTATATAAAGCATCAGAGATGGAGTTGGAAGTACTTTTATTACCCTCCATCAATTGATACTGAATTCATACTTTTTATAAATTACCTTACCCTATCAATCGTTTAACAAACCCATACAGTAACCCTAGGCAGAAATGATAATCCCATTTCCCAGGCGAGGTAAATGAGACTCAGGAGGAACACAGAAGTCCAAGAGGAGGCTGAAACCAGACCTCGAATCCTCAGTTTGAATGTGGGGATCAAATTCCTAGATTGCTTCTCTTTCAGCACATCTTGTCCACTTCCCACAGCAAAGCCATGACAGAACTGCTTCCCCCACATAAGGTGTTCACAATTCTACTTCTGCTTGGACTCAATTTTTCCCTGGGACCCAAGGAAGTGGGAAGAAGTAAGGGCCACTTTCTTGACCCTTTACCTGCCTCATTCCATATACAAACATTGGGCACAATCAAAGTTTCTGAGGGCCAGTGTCTCTGCTGAGTATGTATCCATTGGTGGCTGCCAATCACCAAGCCTCTCAGCCACCAACTGCTGCCTTTGTGGCAGGTGAGGGAGCAAATCAAATTAAATATTTAAAGGCTGTTACAAAGGTAAGTCTATCTGTTGCCAAAATCACATGGAATGCTGGAAACCAGGCATCAGGACTCTTCATACTAAATCATAATACAGACACCAGGAGGCCAACTAGAGGTGGTATTGGAAATGTTCTACGGCAGTGTCACCAAGCTTATGAACAGTGCCTCCAATCCCCCACCCAGTAGCCATGCCATAAATGCTCCTCTTCCTCAAGGGTGCCACTGACTAAACAGGAAGTCCATGTTTGACAAGACCCAGGACATTTTCTTTCTTCCATGAGTGACACAGATCATGGACTCTATGCTGAGTGAATTTGACTCAATGACAAATCTGCATCCTCAGAATTTCCTTAGAAGCTTCCTAGACAGTGCCTTTGTCTCACCCCTCATGCATGTCCTCAACACATGAGTCTACATTTATTAGGTGCTCAGCAAACATCAAAACCGAATCATTGTGTAGGTCAGAGTCAATAAATAATACATCCTTTGGAATAATCCAACCCACTGTCAAAAGCTTTACAGCTGTAAAAAAAAATGTTAAGGGAAAGAGACAAAAGAAGGTGAAATGTTACCTCTGCAAAGACATCACATCCTGAAATTATAATATTGGGCCTGAAGTTAGATGCTTTAACTTTCTTCTCCCCCAGCCTGGAGTTGAGATCACCCAACGATGCCTCAGAAAGGACCATGAACGGGCTGGCATCTGAGTAGGCAACCTGATAAGGAAGCAGCCATTGTTATGCTATGTAATGCAGAATCACCTCAGCAGGTCCAAGCGTCTCGTTCCTGGAAATCCCTCTCTTCTCTCTCACACACAGGATCATTCTACATATTTTTCTAGTTCTTTTCACAGAAAAGTCACAGCGATTCAAAACCTTAACTAACCTTGCAGATTTCATGGTGGCACAAAGAGAACATGGGCTTAGAATTCTATGGCTGTCACTAAGCATGTGCCCTTGGGGATATCACATTACCGTTCTAAGCACCTAGAGTCACCAGTGTTTAGCAAGGTGGTTGGGTTTGATGGCCTCTCATTATGTTTGTTTAGAATGTCTCCTAATTCTATGGGTATGTATCAGAACCTGAAAATTAATGTGAAGTAGTAATGATGAGCCTAATTTTTTTAAACAGTAAAAGTAGTGTATGGCACTACCAATCCTACTCTCAAGATGAATCCCTTATTCCTTTAAGGACCAGTCTGATATTTGAAATCTATGGATCTCCGCACCCACTCTTGCAGAACTGTAATCTGCTAGGCAATTGCAAACAAACTGTAAAAATGTTGGCCACACATATTCTTTGGAATTCCTTGAAAAAGATACAGATGTAGAATATGATTGGCACCAGAATACTTACAAAATAGTACGAGAGATGCCCTTGGGCAAAAGTATGATGGAGCCCCAAATCAAGCAACACAAATACCGCTCCCATCGGAAGGGCTTTCCTCTTGCCTACTGCTTGGAGACTGAACAGCCAGGGTAAAACCACAGTGCTGAGCTCCTGGGAGATGCTGCCTGCATCTGAAGAGCTGAGAGACACTGCTCTCCTCCCCCAGAGCCTCTCACCTGGTCTTTGGGCCGGAACAAGGGCTCGACTTGTTGAGAATTTCTTGGTCGCATGTTGGGCTCAAAGTGCACCAGGCGGTAGGGCTTCGTCTTTAGGAAGTTGGTTATCCACTGTGCAGCCACCTCGCCACAGTCCCTGCCCTGCACGTCCAGGCCCTGTACTCTGCAGAAAGAGACAGGACAAAGCTCAGGCACAGTTTTGAATATCGGAGCACCATAGTTCCATGGGTCCTAGACACAAAGTTACATAAAGTAGGAAATGATCACTAAATAGCACCCACATAACTACATGAAACAGTAAATTAGTTGTACTGAGAAGTTTTTGTGACTTCTTAAAACTTTTCTGTTGAAGCATAATACTCATAGAGAAGTGCATACCATCGAGTGTGGCTTCATGGGTTTTCTCACACTCCAACCCCACCCATTCTAAATTGACCTCCCTGGAGTCGGAGGGCTTAAGTGCACACTCAAAGCTTGCAGATAATGGGACCACTTCATCAACAAACACCAGGAGTATCTGCCTTGCTCTTTACTGGCTTGAAAGGAAGAATAAATACAACGAATAAAACAAACACATGAAAACTCATACATGCAAATGGGTACTACCTTTCAAAGCAGTCACCTTGGAAAGTAAGAAATATTCCAATTGAACAGTAAGCATACCTACTTACTGCTATTTTAAAATTTAACCTCACTTTTTAAACCAAACAACAATCCTACGTAGGTTGATCACCTCCTTATTCATTTAGTTTTACATAACTTTCTTTTTTCAAAAAATCAACTTCATTGTTAACAGGGGAACTATTCCCAGAAATGAGTGTGTTACTGAAAGGGTTTTTTTTTCTCTTTCTCTCTCTCTCTCTCTCTCTCATTTAATGCCTAAAATGTTAATTTCAGAAGCATCTTGAACAATGGCAGCATTACCAAAATCCATGTATACAAACAGCCTTGAAGGTCACTCTTTATTACATGCCTCTTTGCTGGTGAAAAATGTAGTGTGTGTGTGTGTGTGTATGTGTGTGTATGTGTGTGTATGTGTCCTTCCCCAGAATCAAACTCTAATAGGCCCCCAAGTCTCCCTCCTGTCCTGCCATTCAGAAGCCAGGGGCTCCCCTTCCTTAGTTGTATTTGCAGATGGATGGAAGGCAGCCGTGGAGACAGACAGCAAGCTGCCCAGATCCTTGGACTTTGTGGGCAGTAATTGTCTTTACTGAGAGCATCTGCATCTATCTTGGGTCATTACAAAAAATGAAAAAAAAAAAAAGCAGAGCCCTTAAAACTCAAGACTCCTTAGAGCTGGGGATATGGCTCAGTGGTAGAACACTTGTCTAGCATGAGGCTCTGGTTTAACCCCTAAAACCACACAAATTTTTTTTTTCAATGTAAATACCTTCTCTCTTAACTTGACACTGATTTCCCCTGCAACTTCTACCCAGGGTTCAGGTTCATCATCACCCAAAGCACAAGCTCTTTTGAAGAACAGAATTTGTTGTGTGTCTTCTTTCTGTTCCTCCCACATTTCTCCTGAGCAGCCAAAATTGTGTTGTTGAGCACAGTATTTCACTTGGACACTGTCCCAAAGAGTTCAAGCGCAAACAAAACAAAACAAAAACTTTAAACGCTCTTAAAATCTTTGTCTAAGACGATGCAGGCATGGCTTGAGGATAATGCTAAGTAGTCCATAGAAAGAGCTCGATTCTCTGTAAACCATAAGTGGTAAGCATTTGTGAGTTTAAGTAACAACCTCAGCCATGAAAACAGGTGTGTCAGCTATGATCCTGATCTTTTAAAGGTGAACCCAGGCTGGGAACTGGTGGGTCATCCCTGTAATCCTAGCTACTCAGGAGGCAGAGATCAGGAGGATCATGGTTTAAAGCCAGCCCAGGTAAATAGTTCATGAGACCCTATCTTGAAAAAACCCATCACAAAAAAGGGCTGGTAATATAGGCCCTGAATTCAAACCCAGGTATTGCCAAAAAAAAAAAAAAAAAAGGTGAATCTGGGACCTCAAGAACCAATCAGAAATCTTCAGGAACCTGTGGGCTGAGATTATAGCTCCTTTACAGAAGAGTGGTCTAGGCTGCCAAAGGAAATCTGGGCCCAGTCAGTGCTTGAGATCTCTGCTTTGCAAGCACCTGGTAATGCAGCAGGTCTTGGCCTCCCTACTTTGCAATTTTTTTGCAACATACCTTAAGCATGGACCAAAAAGGCCTATGTAGGATTGTGGGGAACATACAACTCTAAATGATTTTAAATTAAAAAGAATTTTGTTTTATTTTTTTTTTAGTACTAAGGACCAACCCAGGGCCTCATGCAAGCAGATTACTGCTGTGCTACATCCCTAGCATCCCCAAAATTTTAACTACAAGACAGAATGGGTAAATACCTAACCATGGCAAACAAACTTGAGTCAGATATCGACAAACAGGACACACAAATTCCAAAAGGAATATTAAAAAAGTTCACCTCACAACACCATCAAAATTGCAAATTAACAAGAAATTGACATTTTTGCTCATAAAAACGGCAAAACATTTTTTGGATAATAATGGTTAGAGTGCAATTGGATCTGTTCATGAATTGACAGCTATATAGGTTGGTAAAACCATTCTACAAACCAGCTTAGCAACATGTATGAAAACTCTCTAGGATCTATACTCCTTTCAAGCAAAACCACTGTTAGCATTTTTCCCTCTGGAGAAATAATTAGCAATACAAACAAAGTCTTATGCCAAGATATTCTTTACAGTCTTCATACCTAGAAAAAAATTAAACACAATTCAAATACTTAATCACAGAATACAGTAGAAGACCCTCATAGCATGAAACACTGTGCCAACACAAAGCATGGCATTTTGAACATCTTTTAACAATATGAAAAACACCTTGTCAACTTAAACATAAGCCATATTCAAGTATCTAAGGGTTTTTTTCCTATAATTTTAATTTGAGGTTTTCTTTCTTTTTTGTTTCTTCTTTTTTTGAGACAGGGTTTACTATGTAGCCCAGGCTAGTCTTGAACTTATGATCCCCTCCCTCAGCCTCCTGAGAGCTAGGATATCACCATGTGCCACCACCATGCCCCATTGCTCAATTTGGTTTTAAAAGTAGTAGCCATAGAGACCAGAAAGAAAATATGCTGACATATTAATTATGGTTATCTTACATAGTTTTTGTTTTCTTCCTTTTTTTTTTTGCATTTTCTAATTTTTTGACAACGAATGCATGTTACTTTTATAATTAGAAAACTGCCAAATTAATAACTAAACCTGATTTTCCCATAATGGAACAAGAAAGTGACACTAGATGCAATTTCTAAAAGTAACTGCTTTCTTACAGTCCTCCGATGTAGAAGAGAAAAGACTTCTGTGCAGAGCAACTCCCCAAGTTGAATGTCCACCCTCCCTCTGACACTGATTGCTAGAACTCTTTGGGTTGCACCTGTTCCTTTCTATTTTGGAACTTCCTTTCACGAGAAGTACATATCATAGTTCTAATATGATACTAAACTATCACAGCCATTTAAGACTCCATACTCAGATTTGAAAGGTACCCAGTCTTTTTAAGCAAAACAGGAAAATTCCTATGACAATACATAAATCTAATCTCACCCATTCCAGCACACTCTCCCCCACCACTACCACCCCATTTTTGTCCTTGATCCTTTGGTAGTCATTTTTCTCTTGCAGACATGTCAAAATGCTTTACTCCCATTGTTTTCTATATGGTATCTGAATATCTCTCATCCCAATCAAGTGCCAGGAAGCTACTCCCTGTTCCCCTGTCAGATCTTTACATCACTGAGGACTTAGCCATGCAGATGGTACATTTGCTATCAAGAACTAATTACTGCTAATGGTCTTCCAGGATTCCCTCCATTGTTCGCATGTTCTCAAAATCGCATGAATACTTATTCATACAGGGGCGAAGACATGCCCCTTCCTTACCTGCACTTGCGCAACGCATTTGCAGTAGGTGTTTTGATGGGCAGTAGCAGGTCCTTCAAGTTGGCTGCACTGAGCGTCAGAGTGTCGCCGTCACAGGTGATGGAAATCAGGACTAAGCGAGGTTCCTGCCGAGCAGTAACCATGTTCCCTTCCTCATTGATCACCAGCCAAAACCTGACATTTTCAAAACACAGGATATGTGTGGATCACCAAGAGAGGCAGCCCAAGTCTGTGTCAGAGCTGCAATTATACACTGTCATTCTTTATTTCCTCCCTGTCTGTCATGTGTGTGTGTGTGTACCTCTGTGTGTGTGTGTGTGTGTTTGTCTCTCTGTCCTAAACATCAGCAGCAAGCAAGACTGAAGCTGTCAGTCAACTCAAAAGGATGATCAACCACTCAAGCATCCAACATATAGTATGTGGAACATCTGAGCTCCTTGAAAGCACAGAAATCAAAAGCTGTTAATTATATTCATCTTAATTGCCAGGAAGCCTGGTCACCTTCATTAAACATGCCCCAGGGAAATGACAAGAATCTATTTCTGAGGAAGACTGCTGAGGCAGGAGGGAGCATGAGGCAATGAGTTCTCGGTGACACAAATGACAAGACACATTTATACCTTGCCAATTTCACTCTCCCACACACGTTTTAAAAATTAAATTTCAATATGCAGTGCTATGAAGTCTGCAATTTGCTAAAAGATCTATTGTCAACCTGGGCAATAATTTTTTTTTTCCAGGCCAGTACTCCTGGTCTTAAAGATACTGATTTCCTAGGAAAAAAGATAAATGGAGAAATTAAGAGCAATGGAAAGAACAGTTTCCAGAAACAAAGCACATCTGTGGAGGGAGGTGACCTTTAGCTGCCAAGGAAGTGGCATGTACTGGCAGTTTGAACTTTTCACTGATCCAGTGATTATACCTACAGAAGTGGGAATGTGGTTTTGGGATCCCCAAATATGAGAAAATAATAGCAAACACTTTAGGTCATTAAAGATGTGTCTTGCATCATCTCCAGCAGGTTATCATGGGTGAGTTACCCAGCTATGTTAGAAAATATGTTTAGAAAATAGCCCTTTGTCTAGCTGTCCTTTCATCAGCCCTCACCCTACACAGATCCTGACTCAAATCCTTGGTACCAGCACAAGCACTCTTTCTAGTAGTTCTTCCTGGCAGTGTTGGCAGTTTTGTCTTTCTAAAATGCAAATCTGATCTTGGTATCCCCTCCTCCAAAATCCCTCTACAGTTCTTGCTTCTAGTACAACACTCTTTAAGTAAGGCTCCAAGGTCTTTATAATCGAGCTGCTTTCTAGCCATTGCTAACTTCCCAAGACTTCACATACACCAGTGTTTTTTAAAATCTATTTTAATTGCAGTAAAATATACATAGCATAAAATACCAGGCATACTCCTAGTTATAAACTCCAAAGAACTGAAAACAGAGACTTAGATACTTGCTCAGTGCTGTTCACTGTACCATTATATATGATGTCACAAGTTGCTAATGACTCAAGAATCCATCAGCAGAGGCTAGATTATTTTTTATGTGATTTTAACCACTTTTACCACTCCATTTTCAAGTGCACAATTTAGTGCATTAAGTATATTCACAATGATGTGCAAACATCAACCCTCTCTATTTCCACAACCATTTCACCATCCCAAACAGAAACTCTGTACCTATTAAGCAATAAGCTCCCCCCGTCCCTTATTCCCTCAACCCCCAGTAACCTCTAACCCACTTTCTGTCTCTATGAATTTGTCTATTACAGATATGTCATGTAAGCGGAATCACATAAGCTTTCGTGTGCTGCTTATCCAAACTAGCACTGTGTTCTCAGGGTCCACCCGTGTTGTAGCATGGATCAGATCTTCATGTCTTGTCATGGCTGGCTGAATGATGATAGCCCATTGCATTGTGTAAACCACATTTTGTTTATTCATTCATCCACTGATGGACATTTGTTGGATTGTTTCTACTTTTTGCCTACTGTGAACACTCAAGATTCCTGTTGCAAGGAATATTCACCCCATGCAAGTCAAGTCCTGGTTTTCAGTTCCCTTTGGTAAATCTCTCAGAGCATGTCAGTTTTTCCCCAGCCTACCTTCTCAGGTCCAGTGCTTTGCCCAGATTATTCCCCCTTTCTAGAATGTTCTTCTCTCAACTTACTTGCCTGCAAATTTCCTAATCATTTTCCAATTTTCAGCTTAAGCCTAACATCCTTGGTTAAGTCCTCCCTGAGTGCCCAGAGAGTTTCCAGTGCACTCTTCTCAGTGTTCCTTGGCACTTGTCACAGCCCCAAGGAAGCTTTTTGCTAGTTTCTCTTGATCACACTTTCTGGGAGTGTGTGATGACAAAAGTAAATAATTTGCCATAGTTTCTGGTACAAATACTAGCTCTTATTGTCAACTGTTGTAATACAAGCTTAATTAATGTTTTTCTGAATCAAGATAGCAGTAAAACTACAACTATGTTTGCCTCTAGGGCCTACAAAAACAAGATAAAGTCAACAAACCCTACTGTTTTTCAGAGTCTACTGTATAAAGCATAGAATATTTAGGGTTCTTGGCTTCCTGAAGCAAAGGGGTATAGCTCACCTTTGAACTAACTCATGAAGTGCTGTGTCTGGGTGAAAGGAACATTAAGAAAGTGTAGTCACTCATTACAGCTATTTTAACAATCAGCAAGATAGCCTTGGAGCAGCCACCCCCAACCCTTTAGTTGATCCATTATGTAATGTGTAACTAGTGCCAAGACAGCCCTAGGAAATAAGGATCTTTGTATTCATTCAAGATTTTAAAAACAAAGACATGCACCATCTGCCCACCGTTGTAATGTGGCACCCACTAGTCTGGAAACACCCATCAGCTACCTAGAGAAGTCACCCCTAAACCAGCTTTGGGAAGAAAGGTTTGTGACAAGAGTCTCACTTTCTTCTCTCTTCTCATGGAGTCTTCCTTGCCTCAGCATCTTGTCTCCTGGTAGTTGGCCTGTTGTGAGGCTCAGCCAACTGATCTGCCAGCAAGGAGGAAAGATTCGCCCCTCTGTTCTCTGTTACTTGCTGAAGCCGGTGAGGCTGCTCTGGGAAGGAGGCTAACGTGCTGCCTGCTGATGAGGCCCGCCCGGATCCACAAGACAGAGTTCTGGAACTCTGCAAGCCTAGTTAAACCCCAGGAATCCACAGTTACCCCTACCCAGAGGAGGGCTTTAATGAATCACTGTTTTTACAAAGACCCCGTGTGCTAATGAAAGCACAAGTCCCGGGAGGCTGCTGTGTGGCTGTGAACCTCAGTTTCTTCATCCACGAAAGAGTACTTATCTACAAAAGATCTGGGGAATATAACATACTTTTTAAATTGCAAGAGGGTACTCAACTACTGTCTTGATTGCATGTTCTGCCTTGGCGCGCAGTTTGAGATCTGGGCTCTGTCCACGGTTCTACAAGATTGGAAGATTTAGTCACCAAAAATAAAGCGACCAGGACCCACCCCTGGATGCTCACCTCGCTGGAGGGAGATGAAGAAATCTGAAGACTGGCAGACACCTGGGGATGAACACCACGGCTTATCAAGATCACGTGACCAGAAAGAGCCAGTGGGGGGTGGACATACGCCCATTTCGGGAAAGCGGGAAACCTTGAGGTTCAGAATCCCAGGCCCCTGGGGTTGGCAGGGGGAATGGGGGAAGAATCACTTTTCCTCTTTTGTCCTGGTCCCAGTAGCTCCTAGTCTCTTTGTAAGGAAAGGAAGAACCGGTTAGCAGACTCAACCCTGGATGTACAGCCAGGTCAGCGCTGTGCAGCGCCGGGGCCGACGTACCTGTCCCGCAGGTGGCCGCTGCGCAGCCCCATGGCCGTGCACTCCGCCGCGTTCACCTGCACCCCCTTGCAGGACTTGACCGGGTAGATCCAGAGCTGCGCCACGGTGCCCACCTGCTGCAGCCGCCGACGCCGCCTGGGTCGCGCATGGCGCCAGGCGACAGTCCCCAGAGCCACCGCGGCGAGGCCCAGCGCAGCGACCCCGAGCTGCGCGAGGAACCGCGGCACGGGGAGGCCGAGGCGGGCCACCACCGACGAGCTGGCGGCGCCCATGGGAACTCCCGCAGCGTCCAGCGCTGATGGAAGCGAGGCCGGTCCGGGGCGGAGGCGCGGTCAAGGGCGGGCAGCTCCGGGATCCTTGCAGCCAATCGGAGCCGAGCGGCCCGGGCCCCGGCTGGGTGGGAAGCGGTAGCTCAGCTGCCCCCCACCTTCCGCCACCTGAGCTGCAGCCCAGGCGCCCTCCCCCGAGATCGGTTGTGTATTTACGTATTTGTGGGTTCGCGGGTTTGACCTAAAATAGAAAGCGTGATTTGACCTTGGAAATCAAGCAAAGCGCAGCGGCCCCTTTTGGAATAATGGGGGAGGCGGTTTGGCGCGGCTTAGCTTGGGCAGTGTGCAGCTCTCCTCCGCCACCCTCCCTGCAGGCTGCTCAGAAGCCAGGGAGCTTTCCGTGAGTAGGGATTTGAAGTTTAAGGGATGCGACTACTCCCTGGACCCTGGAGAGCCGAAGCCGGCCAGGAACAGGCATCGCTGGTGTTGTGCTGCGGCCGCCCATGGGAATAGCGCCCTCTACAAGGTAGGCCGCCCCAGAGCCGGAGCTGGGGTCATGGCTTGTACTGGGTCAAGGCCCCCAATGTTGCCTGGCCCTACAGTCACAGACCTCAGTTACTTGTCACTTCCAAATGATGTCACATCATAAGCAACAAAGCCACCGCTATCAAAGTGGTTTAGAAAGCCTTAGGCTCCTGTTTGCTGTGCCAAGCTATTAAAAATAAATTATTCTGAGACTTGTTAAAATGTTGAGAGGAAAAAAAAAAAGTTGAGAGATTGGAATCAACTCTGTATTAAAGCAAAGATGGCTGGGGGTTTAGAGCCCAGGAACAGAGTGAGGAGTCAGTACATAGAAAGGTAAAGAGACATTAAGGGGAGGGGGCTTCTTGTTAAACCCACCGAACAGGATGCTTGCTGGTGGCAGGAGCTTGAGAGAGGAGGAACTAGGGCAGACTGCCAGGGCCATAAAAGGGAGGGGGAGTTCTCTCTAAACTGACTTAATTGGATAATTGCCAGCACTGGCCTAGTAGCAAGTGGAGGAGCAGGGAGTGAAGCCCAAGGCTGAGGCCTAATTAAGAAGGGGTTCAGAGGAGCCTCACTACTTTGGTCAGCCATGAGTCCCTTGTGGTGGAATTGTCCATGACGATGGGTAGCAGCCTGGATGGGAAAGGTCAGCCCTCACAGGGGACAAGACACTCTTTTCCCCAAATGCCAACTCATTTCCAAGTCTTAAGTACTCACGACCTGTCTTTCTAAAATGTAGGGCTTGGAGGTATGGCTCAAGTGGTGGAGTGCTTGCCTAACAAGTGGAAGACTCTGAGTTCAAACTCCCAGTATCACCAATAAGTAATATAATATAATGTAAATAAAATGTTTTTCTTCATCACATATGTGTAAGCCCAGAGAGATCCTGTCTGTCCTTTTCTTTGCCAACCCCCAGTCTGTCTTCCCCATTCCTATGAAACCCAGAAACTGTTCAGACTATAGAGGTTGCTGTTTCTCTAGTTTGTGGGGTAAAACTTCCTTCCTTGGAGATGTGTGGATTGCTGGTGATGGTGCTACTGTGACCCATCTCAGCACAGCACAGGACTGAGCTCGGTACTCCCTTCAGAAAGACAGTTCAAAGGCACTAAGTAGTACATAGTTTTGTTTATCACCCTCTTTAAACTTGGCATAATATTTTCATTTCATCACTTCCAAAATTTACCCAGGGATCCAGCTCCCTTACCACTTTTACCTTACAGGGTGCTGGAATGGGGGTTAAATTCAGTCCCAGAACCCAGCAAAGGAAAAGGGAGAGGAAGAAATAGTTGCTCCTGGTTGACAGATTAGAAGGCTCCTCTGAGCCCCTGACTGGCAGACCTCAGACCAACAGACCCATTAGTGACAGAAGGTAATGTATGTGGAGTCAGATCGTGTCTCTGAAGGCCATCAGAAAGGGTGAAGGAAAATGAATGCCAGTGATGAAGCACTAATGTAAAATGAGAAAAGGCCTGCGCGCAGACTCACAGACAAAGCAGAACCGAGATTCACATTTATTAGTAAGAAAGAAACCACAAAATTATAAATGGGTTTATCCATTCATATGTTACTGTAGTGAGTACTTGTTGCTTAGATACATCAAACTAGCTCATTTCTGTTATAAAAATATATGCACACCTAAAAATATATTCATGCTTTCTTTCTCCCATTCCTACTTCTTGAAATTTGATTTTCTTTTAATGCTCTTCTTAATTTTACTTAAAGTAACAAATGGTGTATCAGCAATTACACACAAATTTTATAGGATTTAATAGTCATAATACAATATAAAAATATGATCTATAAAATAATTTCCCTACTCAAGTATAACCCTGAATCCACAGTGGCAGGGTAAAAAACACCAGTGACAAGAAAATACAGCTCAACAGCCATGTCACGAGCAACCAGTAGGCACTTGTGAGCGTGGGAGCACATAAAGGCACGTCAGGACATGATGGTTTGTCGTTGGCCATTTCTCCTCAAACAATGATAGGCAATAAAGTACATACATTAAATTTTTCTTGTATTTTTTAGTTGACTCTTTAAACTTTCTTTACTCATCAATATTAAAGTCAGAGATTGGAAAAATGTAATCACTGTGGTAACATTCAGAATAATTTCATACACAATTTTATTTAAAAAGCCTTTGTTACCTAAAATTTATATACCCTCATTCCCAAAACACTTCTTGCATTAACTCGGAGCACACATAACTCTGAAAAGTCAAAAACAGAGGCTCGTTTCCAAGAGAAAGATAGTGTGAGGTTGGCTAGTAGGAATTCGCTGAGATATTGTTGCTGTTCTTGTTAAAATCCTGGTTAATACTTCTCAGATGTCATAAGCTGAATAAATGATAAGAATTTCTAATTATTTGGTTATTTAGCCTGTTGGTCGTAAATAATTCAAACATCCACAAAACAGTCACTTACAGAGGTTAAAATGCAGGCAACATAAACCATGCCCTCCCCAAACTACCATAATGGAAAAGAGCAGCCCTATTAAGATTGAGTTCTGTCCAGGTCCCAAAGCAAGAAGAGGTCTTTCTTACATGGTGCTAAGGTTTGGATGTGTTTTGACTGTGTCACCCAAAGGTTCATGTATTAGTGGCTTGGACCTCAGGGTGGTGATCTGAGAGGTGGTGGTACCTTTAAAAGGTGGGACCTAGTGGAACATGGTTAGGTGATTGGTTAGGGGTGTTCCCTTAGAAGGGAATTAAGTAGATTTTTTGGGGTGGTGTGGAAGTGTTAGACAGGATCTCACTGTATAGCCCAGGCTGGCCTTGAACTCACGATCCTCTTGCCTCTTCCTCCCAAGTGCTGGGATAAAGGTATGAACCACCACACCAAGCTTAAAGAAGATCTTGTGGAACCCCAGTTAGTTCCCTGAAGAGAAAGGTGTCATACAAGAGCAAGTTTGGCCCCTCCTCGCTCTGACTTCCTGCCTCATCATGTCTCTGCAAGTGCTCCTGCCTTGTCATCCGCCATGTTATAATGTAGCCAAGGTGGCTCTCACCAGAGGCCAGACTGAGGGGGCCACCCAATTTTGGACTTCCAGTCTCCCAAACAGTGAGCTAACAAACCTCTTCTGATTATGAAGTATCCAACCTCAAGTGTTTTGTTGGAGCAACAGAAAATGGACTAATACACAGGACATATGAAGAGTGCAAAAGAGAAACAACCCTTTAAAAAACAGCTAGTCAAGATGCCAAAAAATATGCATACACCCCAAGGGTCAATAAATCCACTTATAGAAATACAACCATCAGAGAAATCCTCTAATTTTAAATGATCTGCTTACAGAGATATCCACTTTGGATATAACAAAAGATGTTATCCAAATATCAAGTACTTATAAAAGTTGTGTTTAAAGAGGTGGCATATATTTATACAACATAGTATTATAAAGCCATCAGAAATGTCATTTGAATAGATTGGTGAGCTATGAATGTGCTTATGACAGAAAACAAACAAAATACCTATCAGAATAAACTTTATAAACAGTGACAATAGGTGATTTCTTTCTTCTACTTTTCTGGCAAATTTTCTAAATTTGCCATGGTTAATATGTATTGTCATTATAATGAAACAGATAGACTTTTGTATATCTAAATGTGAAGTAGGTAAGTAAACAACTCCAATAACCATGGTGCAAGTCTTAACTGCTTTTGCTTCTTAATCTGTCCTAGAAAGAGGGTCCCCCAATACACAGGAACTGTGTGAGCTCACACTTAGATGAGTAACATTGCTGTTATTTCAGAATCCCTGGGTGACTGGGGTGGCAGCAAGGAAGGCCTCCTCCAGAGTTCACCAGCTGAGACTCGCAGGTACTTTGGAGGAGAAGCGTGTTCAGAGCCAGGAGGCTCAAGAAAGCATCTGAGAAGTGCCCAAGGCTTGGTGGCACCAGGGTGGCTGATAAAGCCGGCAGGGAGCCTGGGGCCATCGTATCTATCCCATGCTAAGCATTAGGGCATCCGTGTCTCCCTCTCCATGCTCACAACTTCCAGACTGCTAAAGTCACATGCCACCATCCCTGCCTGGCCATCAGCCTCTCCTCCACACCTCCCTCCAGTCTATCCCACACACAGCTCTCAGGACCATTTTCTAAAAGCACAGCTTTGATCATGACTGGGTTTAAACTAACTTTCAAGAACATACTACATCTGGCTTCCTCGCTCCTCTCCATTCTCACTTC